TAGCCATGTACCAGCGACCGTTGTCGCACTGGCCTTTAGCGCGTAGACGGTGCGCTATATATCTGGTACGCGACTAGACGACCAACCAAAATCAATGGGTAGAAGACACAAAAGTAAGCTATGGGAGAAGTTTATTGAACGGGAGGAGCGTTAGCTAATGCTAAAAATAGGGCACCCGGAGAGAGCTAGCTAGGGAGAATGTCGTTGGCGTCGAGAGCGTAGACGGAGCGTCGTTCGCAGTCGAGCCGCGCGCCAAATGCCGAGAGGAAGGCGTTCGTGTTTTCAACAAACGGGAAAAACGTTCCAACAGGCAAACCGCCTAGTTCCCTAATACATAAGAAAGCTATAATTTGAATGTATTTTAGAATAGTTTACACAGGCATACGGGGGAATCTCCAGGTCGCTACACAGCCCCCCTCCTAGAAGGGAAACCGTGGGTGACCCTTCGATCTACGTGAGGACTGTCCGTCGCGAGCCAGCCTTCTGCGAGACCAGGTAGTGAAACCTGATGCAGCTGCTGGGGGAGAACCAGGCGATCGGACCCTAGCGGGCTCCCACCCGTGTCCTCCCTAACGGTGCCAAAAACACAAGATGGGGGGAAGTTGGTAAGCGTCAAATGTTCGCGAGTTCGTGAAGGTCAAGTGTTCGCTTCAGCCTCGGCATCTCCTCCGGTTCATACATGGAAGATGAACGAAAACAAGAGCAGTGACGGTGGGGGCGAGGGCAAAAGCAAAAGTGACACTTACCGGATGAGTTAGGCGTCAGCCAAAACGCAGCTCTTTTTGTGTTTTCAAAACGTTTTGTTCTTTTTTGGGTTTTCAAATCATTTTGCGTTCTTTTTGGGTTTTCAAAAAAACTTTTGTCGGTTTTTTGTCGTTTTCAAAAGCTTTGGAGGGGTTCGTATTTTGTTGGCCAAGAGGGAAAAGAAAAGCAATAAGAAAAGTGAAAGGAACGCTAATCCCTTAATCGAGCTGGCCAATGAACGCGTCTACCGGACCTAGTCGACTTATGCGAATCAGAGGAAGGCGTCGTCTTAGACGTCCTATCGGATCGCAAAATTTGAGGAACTGCTGAAGACGTGGCAGTTGGTTCGATGGGAAGCGGCGGGCTGAAGTAGAAGGCTTGGATGGAGCGTGATACTTATGGTCAGGGATGTTGGAAGCAGTTGAGTCTTCCATCATAGGCTGCGTTGATTCGTCAGAAGACAAGTAAGGGTCTTCTTCGAGCTCAGGTTCCACGTGGGCAACGTTGAGACGGTCAATCGTAACAGCTTCACGTTTACCGTGACGGTCGATTATAAAGACGCGGTCCTTACGCTGCAGAACCCTGAAGGGACCTTCGTAAGGTCGCTCCAGTGGTCTGCGGAGACCATCGAGGCGGAGAAAAACGAACGGACAATGCTGCAGGTCTTGTGGAATAAAAGATTTACGTGGTTGTTCTCTAACGTTGGGAAGCTTGTACTGACGCATGCTCGTGGCAAGCTGACGTGCATAATTTTGTTCGTAACGGGTAATTCTGGGACTAACGGAGAAGAAATTACCAGGTAAACGCAGTGGTTGTCCATATACTAACTCGGCGCTAGAAGTACGTAGATCGGCCTTTAGGGCTGATCGGATCCCAAGGAGGAGCATAGGCAGCACGTCAGTCCTTCTCAGCGCATTGGCGGCGCTAAGTGAGGCTTTCAACTGTCGGTGGAAACGTTCCACCATGCCGTTCGCTTGCGGATGATAGGCAGTCATGCGAATGCGTTGGCATCCAATGAGTTTAAGGAGATCGTTAAAGGTCGTAGATTCGAATTGCGGACCGCGGTCTGTAGTCACTGTGGCTGGACAGCCGTGTGAAGCGACCCAGCGCTCGACGAAAGCGCGTGTTACGGTTTCCGCAGCTACGTCAGGGATGGGAACGGCTTCGGGCCAACGGGTGCAACGATCGATCATGGTCAAAATATAGACCATACCTTTGGACGGGGCTTAGAGGTCCCGCGATGTCGAGATGGACATGGGCAAATCGCGCTGAAACGAGCGGAAAGCGAAAAAGCGGAGCGGACACGTGCCGCTGAATCTTGGCTTGCTGGCAGGTGAGACAGCTGCGTGCCCAACGTGTAAGATCGCGTTGCATCCCCGGCCAAACGTATCTCTCAGAGACAAGCTTAGCAGTAGCTTTAATGCCTGGGTGGACGATATTGTGGAGAGTGTCAAAACGATACGGCGAAAAGTTCCTGGAACGACGGGTCGAGGTCCTCCGGTAGATGTGTCGCATAAAATGGTACCGTCAGATGACGGCAGAGGGTGCGGGGATATCTTCAAAGAAGAATCGCGGAGTTCCGAAAGACTTCGGTCGTTTGATTGCGAGGCGGCCATAGCAGACAAATCGATTGCCTGCCCGGCAGGACCAATCGCAGATACTCTTGAAAGAGCATCAGCGACGACGTTTTGTTGACCAGAACTTTGTCGGATATCAGTCGATAATTGGGCGATGACATCCAGCTGACGAATCTCACGGGGTGAGTGTCGAGCTGATTGATTTCGGAAGGCATATGTAAGCGGCTTGTGATCGGTGAAGATAATGAAGGCGTTACCTTCAAGAACGTGTCGGAAATGTCGAACGGTAGAGTAAACGGCTAGCAGTTCGCGACTGAACGTGCTGTACTTAAGTTCGGCAGGCTGTAGGCGTCTAGAGTAGAAGGCAAGAGGTTTCCAGTCTCCATCTGCATGTTGCTGTAGGACGGCGCCAATGGCGGTGTCCGATGCGTCGACAGCAACACTAAGCGGAGCGTTCGGATCGAAGTGATGAAGCATAACGGCTTTAGCCAAGGCTTCTTTGCTGGCCTTGAATGCTTCGGCAGCAGCAGCAGTCAATTCCACCTGGCCGTTTTTACGTCCACGAAGTAGGTCGGTTAGTGGACTTAGCAAATTGGCACAGTGTGGAAGAAAACGTCGATAATAGTTGAGCATGCCGTTAAAACGGCGAATAGCGGCTAACGTAGTCGGAACCGGAAAGTCTCTGATGGCGCGGACTCTATCGTCTGGAGGCCGTATGCCGTACTGATCAGTATGGTGGCCAAGGAATTCCATGGAAGGCTGCTGAAATATGCATTTGTCGGGGTTGACAGTGATGCTATTAGCGGCCAGCCTATCGAAAAGTATTTTGAGATGTTCTGCGTGCTGTTCTGCAGAGGCCGTGGCAGCTAGGATATCGTCGATGTATGCATAGACGAAATTTAGACCTCTAGTGACTGAATCGATGAGTCGTTGAAAAGTCTGGGCTGCGTTGCGAAGACCGAATGGCAAACGCAAAAATTCGAACAGCCCAAAAGGCGTGATTACGGCATTCTTCGGTATGTCTTCCTCAGCGACTGGAATCTGGTGATACGCGCGAACCAGATCGATTTTCGAGAACACACGGGTGCCGCGCAGACTTGCCGTGATGTCCTGAATGTGAGGAATCGGATATCGGTCGGGAACAGTAACGTTATTGAGCGCGCGGTAATCACCACGTGGACGCCAGTCTCCTGACTTTTTGGGCACCATGTGGAGCGGCGACGCCCAGGGACTGTTAGACGGGCGAACGATGCCTAGTTCAAGCATGTGCTCGAATTCTGCGCGAGCAATTTTCAACTTGTCAGGGGTCATTCGCCTGGCTTTGGCAAAAACAGGCGGACCTTTTGTGACGATATAATGTTTCGCGGCATCAATGGCGGATGAAAACGGTGCCATTGCACGAAAGACTTGCGGTAACTTCGTATTAAGCATCTGACCAATAGGCGAGCTTGACAGGTTGGCGTATACAGGACTGATTGACTCCATGTCGGTCAAAGTACCTATAACTGCCAGGTTGGTTTGACGGTCGATCAGACGGCGTTGCTTCGCGTCAACAAGTAAATCGAAGTGCTGCAGAAAGTCAAGGCCAAGAATTGGCGTCTGGACATCTGCGACGAGGAAGATCCATTTAAATGAACGTCGTAGGTTTAGATTAATCGTGCGAGAGCGTTGACCATACACGCGAATGGTGGCGCCGTTTGCAGCGCGCAAAGAATCGGTCGCCTCTTCGATAACGTCAGTAGAATCACGTGGGATAACGCTGACTTCTGCGCCGGTGTCAACGAGATAGCGTACTCCCGTACTGCGATCGGTGACAAAGAAAAGGCGACTGGGGCAGCCAGCAACGTCCGTCGCCCCTACGTGCTGGCCTACCCGTTTCCCTGCATGTTGCGCTTGAAAGAACAAGGTGGGCGACACGATCTGGCCTGATGACCAAATCGCTCGTGGTACCAGCAATAGCTTGACCTAGGGGGAGATTTCGAACGTGATCTAGGAGGACTGCGACTACTGGGACGATTTCGGCGGTTGGATCCGGATTGTGTTAGCTTCTCTAGTCGGTTGGTCAATGCGGATACTTGCGCTCTTAGTTCTGCTACCTCTGTACTGGAGGTAGACTGAACCTGAGGTATTTGGGCGTTGGATTCCCAAATACGGTCGGCAATATCGGCGAGCTGAGGAAGAGGCGCATCGTTTGCATACAAGGGATTGCGCATGTCACGTGGCAGGCAACGAAGCCACATCTCTTTAAGGATAGAGTCGCCAACAGCGAGAGGCTTAGCTAGAGCTTGCATCTTGTGCAGCAACTGCGAAGTGTAGCGCTTGTACATATATTTCTTCCCAATTGTACTTTCCTATTCTCACTTCCATTATTATTGTACAGTTTTGTTATAACTGACCAACGACCGATACAACACTTTTTTCGGGTTTCGATTCGCCTTCTGGTTTCCGCTACGCGTGTTGTGCTGTTGGTCGTCGTCTGTCTGCTGGCCTCGTCCATCGATCGTCGGATCTAACGCGTCGATTTATTGTGCCGACTAAGTTCCGTCTTCCGACCAGGTTGTGCGACTAACTGACAGCCTAGCGAAGATCATGCTTTACCTAAGGTCAGCTACAGCATTCTGATATATAGACTGAGTTCTTATATGTAGTTAGGCCCTTACGCGTTGGCCTTTCCACTACAGAAGGCTTCCGATCCCCTAGCTCGGTTTCATTAAGAAGCTGCGTGACGCGAGCATGGTCTGATATGCCAAATCGCTTTAAGACGACGGCCTTAAGCTCATCGTAACTTTTCTGATGTTCCGGAAGTTCCAAGATGTCGTCGAGGTCATCGACGACTTGCGGGGGAAGCGCGGCGACAACGCAGTGAAATTTGACGCTGTCAGATTTAACGCCATGTAACGAAAAAATGGACTCTAGCTGGTTAAACCAGGCCTTAGGGTTATTATCACGGAAAGGCGGGATAGGAAAACGGAACGCACTAACCTGATCTTCAGGTGAGTGAATAACCATCATGGTGAAAAATTTCGGAGCGTGTGAAAGTGAATGCAAGTATTAAAAAGTAAAAGTAGAAGGGTAGACAGAAAAAGTTACTGGATCTGAAAAGTAATATTAGTACCGAACTCACCAAAATAGATTTTTTCGGGGTCACCAATTGTAGCGCGTAGACTGTGCGCTATATACCTGGTACGCGACTAGACGACCAACCATAATCAATGGGTAGAAGACACAAAAGTAAGCTATGGGAGAAGTTTATTGAACGGGAGGAGCGTTAGCTAATGCTAAAAATAGGGCACCCGGAGAGAGCTAGCTAGGGAGAATGTCGTTGGCGTCGAGAGCGTAGACGGAGCGTCGTTCGCAGTCGAGCCGCTCGCCAAATGCCGAGAGGAAGGCGTTCGTGTTTTCAACAAACGGGAAAAACGTTCCAACAGGCAAACCGCCTAGTTCTCTAATACATAAGAAAGCTATAATTTGAATGTATTTTAGAATAGTTTACACAGTCATACGGCGGAATCTCCAGGTCGCTACAGGCCTGCTGGAACTCAAGCCATTTCGAACCGCTACTTGTCTTATCTTAGTCACCAGTTCGAAATAGTCCGTCCTGCATCATGTGTAAATGTGGGTGGGAAACCAGCTGCTATTGCCTGCACACTTCGCTTTTCCTGGCCTATACTATTATTTAGTCATGCTGTCTGGCGACCTAGAATAGCTCTCACCAGAACGTCCACTGACGTACCAGCTTGTGCGACAGTAAAGCCTCGTTTTGCATTGATGTCACCTAAACGGAAGCTCCAAAATGGGAGAGAGCTCATAAGCAGCAAACAGTTACACGGTAGAGCGTCCCAACACATGGGGCGCAACAATGCTTCAAGTCTGGGAGAACCTAACTATAGAAAGCAAAGTTCTTGAGGGCCTACCCATGCATACTCTAACGGATTATTATTTTAGAAGCATTTTGCCATTTTTCGGATGCCCATTTCATTATTCATGACGATAGACGTATTTTACTTATTTGTAGCTACGGTCCAAGTATATGGATGTATAAAATGAGCTAAAATAGATAAATCACGCCGGATTTGTCTACTAAACCGATTGGGTTCACAGGCTCATGCGAGTCAAATGTTCAATGAGCTGTACTGGCTTACCCATATAGACCAGAGTTATGTAGTATGGAAGCAACTATTACAATCGCTCAATTAAAATTGTTTGAAGGTTTTAGTTATACAGTGGTTTCTTCGACCAACTAGCCTCTGAAAACGACACACGGAGGTACTATGACCATGGTTTAATTAAAATATCTAGCAAATTCCGGCAGGCAAAACATACTATAGTGACTTAAGAGGGTGTCCCGGTATATTATTCATTTATTAGTCGGTTTATTACGTGCACTTCGAAAGTGTGTTTTGCGGCCACTGCGTCGTACATCTTAAGTACTGTTGTTTAAAGCCATATTGTAAGTTTCTAGCTATGCAGCCCTAATGAGAACTTATGGCAGTAAGCCACTTACAATAATTGGTCTTGTTTTCGCCGCACATATTCGAAAAGTTATACGGCATCGGTACCAAGGTATTTTGGCGACGGTATTGGCATCCGCTCCAGAACTCCGGAAATACTGCAAGTATATTGGTGCTTTGGATCTTATCGTGTAAAAAGATCAAGTTCTGTTCGGACTAAGGTTATCAGTATTAACTTATAGCTACCTTTACGCAACAACATTGGTTTTAAAGCTTCGTTACAATGAAAGCCCCTTGAGTTTGGCCCCAAAGGTCCTCCGTTAATCCGATATACTTGATATGTACTACGTTTATGATCTCCAGCTAATTACACCGAAGTGTTGTCCGCTCATAGATATTTTTTATAAACGTTCTTTATTTATTTCTACTAGAAAGCATGACAAATGACTTTTCCTGACATTTCTGATGCCATCATTACTTTTCTCTTTACATTAGCCCAATATTTAACGTGACCGTAAGTTATAGAAAATGTTGCGTTGCCTATCGGTGCTGCTCCTTACCGCGTGTGCCGGTACATCAATACACGCAGCACCGTTGTTGACAACTTCGTCGGCAGCCACAGTCGGATTTTCGGTTCAGAATGCTGGCTTCCAATTCCTAGTGCATATAAGTTCCTCAAATGAATTCCAGTTAATTCTGTAAATGTTATGAGTGGGTTGCAGTTTTGTATTTGAGTGGTTCAGTTGGTTCAGTGTTCCCGACACGAAAAGCCGTGATGGGGTTGCAGCCCGACAATGGACTGTCAATGGATGCACAAGCGGCACGCTGATGACGTATACCAAATCCGGGGTATTAGTATTTCTGCCGGGCCCTCTGATGTATGTGATGCAGCCATTGAAGTGGATAGAGTACACCATTTCGTCTAGCCCCCTTTACCCGTATGTCCAGGCAGTAACCAGTTACCTTGTGAAATATTGAAATCTTTACACATAAGCTTGGACTTGTAAGTAATGCTAGAGACTGTGTTGATATCATCCAATAGCTGCTAGGTTTCATGGTGGGTTACTCTACAAGGTCGTAGATTCAACGATTGTGGTTGACACACACGCCTACCACTAAAGGAATAAAAGACCCCTTAATGGAAATAGCAAACGTTTGAAATGGAAATATTATGGTGTTGCTCATCCCAACACGGGCACCCCAAGACCGCGGTTTCGTCCTGGTTGAGACTCATCATTTGGAGGTAGCCTGAGTTGAGCTGGAACTCGGAGCATAGTGGCTCATGGTTGACGCCACAAGCAAAACTGATGAGTCCCAAACAGGACGAAACCGCGGTCTTGTGTTGCCAGTGTTATGATGAGCGACACTATAATTTTCTTAGTTTACCTACGGTCCTTGTGATCGGAATGACCGTGGTCCACCTCAGGTGAACCGAGGTCTCAATAGAGGTTGCTTGTAGCAACCCAACCACCAGCGGATTCTCCAAGTTCAACGTTGAGTTTGTTTCCGCTGTACCAAGCTTTGCTCGCGGATCTCAGTAGCATAGTGCTCATGGTGTCAACCATGAGCCACTAGGATCTGAATTCCGGCCTAACACAGGCTATCTCCGACTGGTGAGTCCCAACCAGGAGGAAACCGCGGTCTTGTGGTGCCAGTGTTATGATGAGCGACACTATAATTTTCCCAGTTTACTTACGGTCCTTGTGATCGGAATGACCGAGGTCCACCTCAGGTGAACCCAGGTCTCAATCGAGGTTGTTTGTAGCAACCCAACCACCAGCGGATTCTCCAAGTTCAACTTTCAAACGTTTGCAAATTCAGAAGTACGGAAGGGGCCTTTGAGCTCTCTACCGCGTCGGTCGGTTGCGTGCGGTTGAGGCAGGGTAGGTTCGAGGAAAAGGGAACGGAGATTTTCGTGGTATCCAGTGCTCGGAAAGTCACCGCAGTTGCCGACGCTTGTGTGATTGCATCAGGAGGGGTTGCAAGTGGCTCGTAAAAGAAAGCCACTTTGAGGCGGTCAGTGGACATTTCTTGTTCCGTGACGATTCTGGTCGGAGGTGAAAGGCTTCGGAGTCCATTGCAGGATTTTGAAAGGGTCAGCTCACGGAGGCTGGAGAGGGCGCCGCACTGCGTCGGTGCGGAGGCAGACTGAGTACAGGTAGAGAGTCCTTGGTGCGTTTACGCATCTCCAGTCTGCTCCCGGGGCGGAGTGAATGTATGTGTTGAGCTAGGGAAAACGTAACTTCAGTGGAAGGCTCACCTAACGATGCGGGGAATAAAAAGAATGCTCCTTGCAACTTTAGCCTTGCGAGCTAAAGCAGCTCCGCTGGTGCACATTAGAAGTTAGCTTTGAAGCTGCTGCGAACTTTTAAGCGTACTATCGAAACATTTCGCCCTCGCTAGGGTCGGAGGAGGCGCAGAGCGGGGCTTTAAGCTGACTGGTGAAGCGTTCAACTAACCCGTTGTCCGCTGGGTGGTACACTGTGGTAGGAATGTGGCGGCAGCCTAAAGAGAAACAGCACGTATCAATTTGTTAAGGTTCGAAGGCATTCCGTGGTCGGTGATGATAGTGGATGGACATCCGTACTGCGGGACCCACGGTTCTAAGAAGGCCCAGATTATGGTCTCAGCTGCGCAGTCTGTAACGTGAATGGCTTCTGGTCATCTGGTGAAGCGGTGGACGCACGTAAGCATGTATATGTATCCGCTGAAGAGGGAAAGGGGCCATCCAGATCTATGTGTACAGGCGTGAGCCGCGAGTCCGGGGCGGGATATGCGCCAAGGGGACTATTGGTGTGAAGCTGTATTTTGGTGCGGTGGCAATGAAGGCAGGTGCGAGCCCTTGTACGAACACCTTTGTTCATACATGGCCAGTTTCAAATGTGCATGAACACCGAGATGTAGCAGTAAGTGGAGTGTGTCGAAGACTGTGCTTCTGAAGGAGATGGACGCGAGGGGTCTAGTATAACCCGTAGATGTGTCACAGTGGATGTCACCCTCCGTTGTATGGAGAAACACATGTTGCACATGCAACGAAGTGGACCGCAGCGTGCGTTGTACGTTTTCAGCCTGAGCCTGAGCCGATGCCATGTCGTCAATGTTGACGGTCGGCAAACGCTGGAGGGTCAGGTTGAGGCGGGAAAGCGCGTGGGTGACGGCGTTGTCGACACCTGATACACGACATGTGTCGGCAGTAAACCTTGTGACAAAGTTCAGGTATCTTGTTTCCCGGGGTGAGTATTGGTCAAGGCAGCTTTGAAGGCGAAAGTGAGCAGCATGTGATCAATGCAGACCGTGAAATCGCGACCTTCGATTATGTGCCGGAAGTAACGAATAAATAAATAGATAAATAAGTAGGTATATTTCTAGACCTGCTAGAGGCTGCACCCTAAAGGGTTCAGATCAAGGCTTACATTAATCCGATGCTCTTGCATGGAAGTAGGCAAAATATAAATATATGTTCATCGTTAGAAATTCCAAATGCATTGGCACTGTTTGGTATACAGCTACTGGGTATCACGCGCCCACCTTGACGTTTTCTGGTTCCTTCGGGCGATCCTGAGCTCCTTGTTCTTTTATTGTGAAAAACTTCGCGGAGTTGTGCCTTTTCTCCTTGGAACAGAATCCAATTCGCCGAAAGTTCACTTTAAATTGATCGCACATTAATTGGCCACTCAGTTGCCCCAATTTTTGTTGCGCAATGGAAGAAATGAGTGAAGGCATTATAAGGCATACAAAAAGTTTAAAAAAAAATTCGATAAATGCAGGCAAGAATAGAAACAATTTGTTAAGAGAGTAAATAAATCCGCGCGCTTTAGTAGAAAAAGACCAATTAACAAAAACGTTGAGACGTTTCGTAACCCGTTGTCGATCGGATACGTCTGT